AAAGTATACGAAGCACAAACACGCCGATACCGTACTGTGTGTGCGATGAGAAATGCAATATATTTGAGTGTGTGGATTTTACAATTAAAATGGTTGTATGGACGAATTTTGACCAATGGACTATACTATATTATAAATAAATACGTGTAAAATGTATTTTTTACTTCCAAAATATTTTTGATGCATGTTTTTGTAATTATATATATATATATATATATATATATAATATATATGTATAATGTATTTTTATATATATATATATGCAATATATTATTGTATATTATATACATTATACATTACCTATACATTTATAATATATATTATCTACCTATTAAATATCTCGATTTGCGGCTTCAAGGTGGCGATGGCGGTTATCTATCCGGCTTCCGCATAGTATAATTTAATATAGCCATGTCTTAATGGTATGGTTAGAATAATCAAAATTATTTATTGTATTTAGAGGGGATCTGAAGATTGTTATTAGAACAGAGAACTTATCATAGCAATAAATAAATGCATTTTTTTAAAAATATGTATGTAGTTATGAGTCCAAACAGCTGGAATATATTATATTATATTATATATACTCAGTAAATTTCTATACTCGAATTCATGAGATCTTACACTTTGCAAGTAATACTCAAAAATTATCATCTGTATATTTTTTTTTTTTTTTTTTTTTTTTTATTTTTTATTTGAAACAAACATACATTTACACTCTGTCTTTACAAGTTGATACAATAAGTAAGGTGCTGATTTTGGTAACAGGAGGGGGAAGTCACCCAGTGGCGGCTGTATATTTAAATTCTAAAAATATAACATATTATATATTGGGTTCTTACGTATTGTTTAGTGAGTTTTTAAAGGTAAGGTGGGCAGAGGTAATTTTTATTTGAATTTCTAATCGAAGTTATAATTCAATTGTTATTCATCGCATGTTATATTTTTTATAAAACATTATTATCGAACGAATCATCCAACTGAAAGTATTCTTGTCGCGTTTCCTTTTGTCTTACACAATAAATAATATTTATTTAATATACGGAATATAAATTTCAATTATATAATATACGCAGTAAAATAACAACAAAGATATATCATTTCAGAACTATACAAACGTAATATAGATATGAGAGTAATAGAGTATAAAAATAAAATAGTACAAAACAACGAATTCTTTAGTAATTCTATATCATAGATTTTTTTATAATTTTTCACTTCAATATTTGTGAGGTTGATATTCAATAATAGTAAAAAATATTTTGTATACTAATATAAAAATATATTTAAAAAAAAATTGAAAACTGTTTGTTTAGTATAAATTATTAATATGATATGTTTAGCAAAAGATAATAATTAAAACCAGTTGACGACTTTAACGATATGCTTATTATTAAAAACATAAACGTATTCTGAGGTTATTCTATTGATTGACTTTCACGTTATAATGGGCCAATGGGTATAGGTAAAAAAAAATGTTTGAAAAGTGTTTTGAAACTTTGCACGTAAAACCTGAGATACTATAAGTAACTGCTTAGAAAATTAAAATTATTAAATAACTGTAGTAGAGTATACTTAATATGTCTTAGTATTTCTTGAAAGTATAGGCGAATGCTATCAACTTGTACTTATTTTAAATTGTATAGAGGCTTGTATGAAAATATGTAAATATTCTAAGCATTTTCCCAACTATAAATGGTAACGCATCTCTTATCAATGTAACTCATCTCTTGAGATAAAAAATTTAACGCGGTTTTTTCATTCTCCAATATTTAGTTTCTTGAATTTTACAGTTATTTTTTAAAAAAGAATATAAAATATTAATACAGCACGTTTACTAAACTTGGTCTACATTTATTCTTAACATGCAATTGTATATGTTTTTACAACTATTGTTTTAATACATACCTACAAATATGATTCATTTTGTTGTTGTAATTATATGATCTTACACTTTTTTTTTATCAAATATCTACTATCTTCACATAAAATATGGTACAGTAATTATTTGTTTTTTTTAACTAGTATAAAATTATATTATTTTGAAACGGAAGTACATAATTCAGTTGAGATACCTAACTAAAAAATGGTTTAATATTATATTTTATAACTACTTGTTTATATGTTAAAATAACAACATGTATCTAGATAAAAAATTAAAATTGTAATAGACATATAATATTCAAATAGTTATCAATAATCACTCACCAACCATCAAGGCATAAACCTTTATAATAAATAGTACATATTTAAAATATAATGTTATAAATTATATTATTAAATAAATACATAACAATGTATTTTATGGTTTATTTAGCAAAAAAAATAAATCATAAATATTTATGTTAAATTAATATACTAATTATGTAAATTTTGTTAAAAAATTCCATATTAAACAATAATGCTCATTGAGTATTGTATGAATTGTCTGGATTAAGTCTTAGATCTTAATTTATCCTAGTTTACACAGTTTTTTACATTTCACAGTAGTATGGACCTTAATAATATAATCATAATATGTCAATTAAAAACGTATGGAGAAAATGTTCAATATACATACAGAGTAATATACTGTTCTTTATCTGCGAGTCACTATAGAGTTCATGAAAAAATACTTATCTGACAATTTGCCAAATCGAATTTGTTGCGATTCGATTTGCACGATTTATTTTACTGAAACCTACAGTTATGTCGTGTTTTCTATAGTCTACATTATTGGTCGAGCATTGGCAAATATCAGTGAATTGCAATTGCAACCACTGTTTATCACTGAAATAAATATATTCGTTAACAAGTAGGTACTTATATATAAGTATACATTTTAATATTTCAGCTTATTAAACATTGAATTTACTTTACATTTAGATAAAATTGTAGTACTTTACATTTATATAAAAAAAATATAGTATTAGTTACATTTTTTAAGTACTAAGTTATAATAACTATTGAAGTATTTTCTAGTAGTTTATTTACGAATAACATTCACATTTTACATATAAATAAATGTAGCTACCTACGTCTTACAGTATACCTAACTAATTATTTTGGAAATTTGTTTAACAATATAAATAGTAAATATTTATTATATTTTTAGATTTTAATTTCAAATTTGTTTGAATGTTTATTGAATCAAATCTATTCTGGCAGTGGCAAGCAGTATGTTTATTATTCTTCTTATAAATATTTCTATTGTTGCGTGAACAACGATACCGAATTCTCAAGTGAGTCTACTGATGTCAATATATTGATGTGACAACGGACATGGTCACAATATAGCTTGTAAAAATTATATACGCGGTCAGTAAACTCTTATTCAGTTCATGTGGTTCAAGCATGAAAAATAAAAATAAACACATTTAGAGTTGTTGATGTTATATATTATTGGATTATACTTAACATTAGTTACATATTGTAATTTTCTGTAATAAATAAAAATAAATGTTTGAAGTTTTGAAAGGATATGCCACCAAATACATCAATATCTGTTATCACTTATAAAAGGAAGCGATTACCCTATTAATTATCGATATGAATTATTATCATTTTATTGGTAAAGTCCAAACCGGTTCGTCAACTAAGACATACCTGTTTTATTTTCTCAATAGTATCCTTAGTCTTAAAGAAAATTACAAAAATTGTGAACAAAAAATGATGATATAGCATTGTGATTACAATATTGATACACGTTATTAATAACAATTTATTTTGATTATTTTGTTACGATTCAAACTTTAATAATAATCCTACTTTTTTTAATTAAATAATAAAAATTACCTTTTAAATGTTTCATTTGAACTTGTTATCCAATTAATATTAATATTTATTTTTATTTTTTTAATACTTATAATCATATATACTCATAACTCTTAAACGTTATGAATTATGATTACTTGTTAGGCAGTAAATTGTCTGAACACATTTTTTTGTTGGAGGGTTTATGCCCCTATAAAATTATTAGCTTATAAATTATCATTTTAAAAGATTAGTTTTGTGTACAAAATAAAATAAATTTCATATTTTTATCAATATTCTATACATTTATCTTTTTGTTTTTGTTTGATAATTTATTAAAATTTAGGACAATGAAACTAAACATATTATAATATATCTTAAATATTATTTCAGATTTAGATCATAGCGAGAAAATGGTGTCAGTGAATGTAAGATAATCTATATAAGATTTGTTCATACTTATTTCGTGTGATGTGCCCTTAGACATTTATTTGACTAATTCTCATTTTAAAAATCACAAAAAAAACCAATTTTTTTAGACTATGTAAACCATAAATGTTCATCCCAAAAAAAAATGGTTTTGTTTTGAAATGGATTTGCTTTATAAAAACAAATAAGAAATACTTATCTTGCATTATTAATCACGTTAATTGTCCATTTCAAATGTTCAGCTATAAACGGCTATCGACACGCACGAAGTATAACTTCTTAACCATACACGTTTTAAGTCCCAAACCTACTGCAACTTGCAGTTCTATACACAATTGGTAACAAGCAATATTAAAATAAACTCGAGTTCACCGCGTGGTCCAGAAAAATATTATATATGCGCGATTATTAGATACGTCACGTGTTTACTACACAAGTATTAGCCATGACCTACATCCAAACTACTATTTCGTTTTGGTTAGTTTGTTGTATTATCGTTAGACCTTTTGTTACCAATCCAAAAAATGAAAAGGTAAATGGCAATAATAATAATAATAATAATATACATAGTGAGCCACTGTGTTTACCTGTGTTAGATATATGAGAAAACGATTAAATACAGTGGCACACCCGGCCATCCTGTATTTATAAAAGATGAAAATAATATGAATCCATTAGACGATGTCGTCACAAAGTTCTTTCTATGACCTCTCTTACCAACCGGCAACCATCATAGTTTTTTAATTAAAACCTACAATAACCCCCGGAACACTATATCTGCATTGAGTGTAGTACAATTATATATTATGTTTAATAGCCTAAAATGTATTTTGTTGCAGGAAATGTCAGTGCAGTTTTCACGTATAAATGGAAGGGCGAGGACATGGCCCGAATGTTGGACGACATGACCAGGAGGGTGATGGTGAAAATCACAATAGCCAGTCATTGCACCAGGCCATACGGTAACATTAACAGGTATTTATATACAATTCTACTGAGTTACATGATATACTAATATAATATTATAATTTATTTATATTGGTACTCAAATCGAAATATCTCTATAAAATAAAACATTACGATTCATTTTGAATTTGATATTGCTGTGTTAGGTTTTATTTATATAAACACACAGGAACAACAAAATATATTATTTATTATTCTAATTAATATCCTTCTGGGTAAAATATGTATGTATAATCAGTATCGACCTGGTACACCAAAGGCCCATGGATCAGTTTTTTTTAGGGCCCCATAATGAAATACAAAATTTTCTTTATATTTTGGTGAAAAAATGTTCACCACCTTTTTTTCTTTAAAAATACATTTATTCAAATTCTAATTTTTAGAATTTTTAAGCATACCTAAATACCATAATATTATATTCAAACTCCTGATATTTTTGGTACTACTTTTAAAGAGTATCTTGTGGCTAAACAAACTTCTATTTTTCAAATGAGTATCTCATTTTTTTAGCTTTTTACTGTAAATTATTTAACAGATGATATTCTTGTAAATGTAAATGTAGATGTATCTAAATCAAAATTCTAATAAGTAGTTACTGAATTATTAAAATGTTTATGCTAAAGATAATAATCCTTAAGTATAGTTTTTCAATAAAAAATTATAAGTAGCTAGGTAATGTTAGATATAGTACCTATTCACTATTCAGTATACCTACCTACTTAATAATTTGTACATATAATTTATTTTGATAGATCAATGTTAATTAGTACCCACTGACTACTAAATGTTAAAATAATCAAAGTAAACGTATAGTATTATAAATCTTACATATTTTTGTATGCAACATTTTCCTGATCACTGAATCTAACAGCGGAGCCGGTGCAGGCTCGGGTGAGCGGAACCCTCGTGGCCTCGTCTGAGCCCATTGTTTTTAAGAAGAGCTAAAAAATCTGACTTAACTTGCAGTAGAACAATTAATCCAAAAAACCTCCTCCTACTTATTACTTGACACTTGTGTCTTGTACTAATATGCCCAGCTGATCATACTAATAGGCAAGCATCTGGGACCTGTAAAGAAAAAATGCATACGGTTAAATATTTCGATAAATACTTTACGGGGTTCTTACTCCAAGCAAATAAAAAATTTACAAAAGCCTACAAAAAAAAAAGAGGGGCCCTGGCAGCGTTCGCTGCCCAACAGCCATGGCCAGGCCGACACCGTGTATAATATTATATTAATATATGACTAGCATTGATACTTGATCGTATTATGTGTATCATACAACAAATAACAGTATTGTTCATCCCATACAAGTAAATGTCTTGCATGCAATTCAAGGATAATTTATTTGTTAATTTAATTAGATAACTAAGGGCTACAAAAGTGCAAAATCAAAAATAGATAATAGATATTTAATTTTAGAGTTAAATAGTTTTATCTACTACTTACGTAAAAATAGTTTTATTTTCAGCATGATTTTTTAAATTAAATACATAATAATTATTATAAAATTTGACATTTTAATAAATTCTTACTTATCCTTAGGCCGTTTTTTTTAAAAAATAACATACCTATTAAATTTACTGCAACATTATGTAACTGCACATACCAATAGGTATATACTTATATACCTATACAGTATACAATATAACATTTTACATTTATATATTATTATATTGATTGAGTCATCGTGTTTTTTCATTTTCCCATGAAGCTATAGGTATGGTACAAGAAAACGGAAAATGCCGTTGCTTATATAGTACATATATAACATGCACTGATAAGGAAATTGTAGAGAAAAATCAATAACAACTAAAAAGAAGCATGTAAAATTAATTTCAGTCACGGATAAATAGACAAAGAAATTGAACAAATGTGTGTTCTTGAACATATAGTTATATGACCATGTCAAGTCACACATCCGATTTTATCATAGTATTATTTTGTCCACTCCATTTCTCACTAAACTATTTATGTATTAAGCAAGCTATAATAATACATGTTCTAAATCCAATTAGTTAGGTACCATATTTGTCCGGTGGTCAATATAAAAAAAATCCCTAGCATGTGTAAGCATCATAAAGTGTGTGAAATTTCCTGAAATTACTATAAAGTATAAACTATAATTTTTATTTAAGATGAGTGTTAAGTTGTAAATAATTGTGTATTAAAATTATCACTTTAAGCTTGGGAAAAATACATTTCTATGTAAAACAGCTTTTTTAGTTTTTAATTTTTACTAAAATATGGTCATTGATTTGATTGATTTTAATGTAAGATATTTAATATTTTTGTTTTCATTAATTCATTTAGACTAATTTTTGGGTATGTAATTAAATATAACTTAAAAATAGTTAGTTAAACTAGATTTCCCAATAAAATAGACAAAAAAAACCGAGGAACTTGGGTCTAAGTGTACCTTGTCATTGATTAAATCACTGTAATGTTAGATGTGAAACATTGTATTTCAGTGATAAATAATTGTATACGAAAAACATTTCTAAGCAATTCGCAATCCACTGGGAATATTTTAAAATATATTTATATTACTATAATATAATTAATTAATTTCTCTATTATTAATATAATAGATTTAGCTTGAACTAATTTTTGACAAAATCATCGCATATATTAATTAATAATTATTATAGTATTGTTATTAACATAACTTATATTATCTACTAAGCCAAGTTCAACCAAAACTACAATATGCGAATGATTACGATAAAATTCACTGAAAAGATTAAACGTATAATAAAATATGTAAGAATACATCGGTCACCTAAAGAAGTTGAACTATTTGCTTCAAAAATAAACAAACATTTTTCAAATCTAGACTCATCGCTCAGGTCAAATGTCGGTATAGGTACGCAAGTCACAAACACACCCGCTGACCGTGACAAGAACACACACTTCTAATTCCTACTAAGTATAGTAGGAAGTAACCTACATGTAGGTATTACTTAAAATTTATAAATTACTATATTTAGTATACTCCAATATAAAATAATAAACCATACAATGTACGCACCTTGAATATATCACATCATCACCGAAGCGTGCATTTTTCATAATATTTTATTATTATTTACAGTTGACTTAAATAAACCAACTTATTTACCTAAATTAAAAAAACCGATAAGATCCAGAAACTAGGTGTTATGAACTCTTTTTCTTTGAAAATAATTAACATTTAATTTTATTGTTCTACAAAAAAAAAAAATATGTCACTAATTGACCAGATGTCTAGATGCTCTATTAAACTGATGAAAGATTGTAAGTTTAAGTACAACATAAAATAATACGACTTTCCTGTTTAATTGTTTACTGGCTAAAATGTATAGTACAATTTAATTTTTTTAAGGGGTCGCCAACACCAACACTTGTTTTCTTAGTCTGTTTCGCTCGTAATACTGTAACAAATGTATTCTGTACTTCTACTATACAACTGTCTGGTTCAGTTTAGATAAAATGGGCTTATCATATGTTTTAAAAAGAAGGATATATCGTGTGCATTTTTTAATGTTTTCATTTTTTGTCAAATAATTCTTAAAATATTAATAAGGCTGTCCGGCCAATGCACAGAATATATCCTTTTTATAAAACATGTTAGGTACATATTATAATAGTCCCTATTGCCCTAACCTGAATCAGAACGACTTAATTTTGGATGTCCGGAGTACCTATGTTGCTATATATAACGTGAGTAACAGACAGAGAAATACATTTTAGTTTAGAGGCCTATTTACAAACTGCAAAGGCATGGACGTATTTTTGTCTGTTGCTGATTATGCTATAGTAATACTAGCAACTTTTCTTTTATTTGATGGGCTAAAATGTTATCAGACTTGTCAGATAAAGTTCGTCCACTGGTCGCCATCGAGTGACCCTTGCTATAAACAAGACGTCAACCGTAAAGCCCGATAAAGGTTACATTTTAAAGGAAATTTTCTTAGCTAACCACCTACAAGATTTCCGCGTACCACAGGTTGAGAAACGCTGTCTTAGACCTTGGCTTACCACTTAAAACTACCTACATAATAATTCAAATGCTGATTTTATAAACTAAATTTACAATAAATGTGTGGTTCTTATTAGTTATTTATTTGGTTTTCTTCAGACATAAGTAGACTTATGGACTACTAAATAGTTGATAAGACAATTGTATTGTCGTATTGATAATAGGTATATTAATATTTTCTGACTAACAATACTTGTTCTATATAAAATCGATTATTTTCTCTTAAAAATCTTGACATCACCAATTATAATATAACAATGAGTAAACACTAAACATTATTAATTGTTTGCACTTTATCAATAATAAACCAGATATCATACAAAAATCAAATACTATACTTTTTTTGTTTATTGCTTATACTGCATTGCATTCCAATTTGGCCTAAGTGATTGTTAAATATGTGATAATATTAAATTTAATAATAGCCACATATTTCCCGATCATCTGACATCTAATTCGTCTTTTAAATGTTATACAGACGTATTATATTATATAATGATAGTTTTCTGCTACAGTACTACCCATTTTAAGACTTGAACTCCCAATTCCCATTCATTTTATGTACATTGTACCTATGATATGATCATTATTATGTTCAGTAATATTTTAGAATTAATGTTTTGTGTTTAAAATGTTTAGTTACAATATAAAATAAAATTATCTTTAATCATCATCTTATTATCATGTATAGATCATATTATTATATTATGTAATATTTATTGTAGTATACCGAATAACGATGATAACCCTGACAAATGTATATACTTACAGAATATAGCCATTGTTTTTTTTTATTACATTATTACTTTCAGTCTGAACAATTATAAGTCAAATAATAAAATATTTAAAAAAAACATCATTCACCCCAATATTAACATTTACAAATGATTTATTTTAGATGTATAATAAACTGTTTAAAATAATTTTGTTCTTGCTATATTAAAATTTATATATAATATATATATATTCATAGATTTATCATTGTGG